CATCCGCCCAAGAAAATGACAATACAAACCAACATAACAAGACGATATTACCATCAATAAAACACTACATCATCGCATAAAGTAGAAGCAATGGATAGTTTTTCTAGAGGGCATAAAGGTTGCACTCCTTGTAAACAATTTGCCGTCGCACAAAAATACCAGTGCTACTTCATAACTCAAAAAAAAAAAAAAAATGTAGTTAGAGGGCCTAATTTTCACAAGAGGAAATTGGAGGAAACCATGCTTTTAAATTTCCCTCATAAAAAAATAGGTAATACCTTTTCTTATTCACAATTATGTATTAAAAATAAATAAGTAATTTAAATATATTTTTAGCATTTGATTTTTCATTTCAAAGAATCCCTATAATTTCATCACCGTCTTCACCATATTCGCTCGATATGTAGTGAGAGAAATTTCATCTTTATCATTAAGAATTGGGAGTGGTAATTTTCATTCACCATTCCTACGTATGTATCTCACTCTAAATACATCCCAACATTATTCTTATTAGATTCATTCATTTAAATACTATGCCTTGTTTGTTTCCTATTGTTTTAACCTAAAAATGGATTTTTTTTTTTACCATTTTTTTCAAAGCATTGGGCCCACTGTGAGAGAAAGAGGTCAAAGATTGCGACTTTTTTACTGTAGCAATGGTCAGAATTTTTATTTTTAGTGAAAACAAATAGGCTGTATATATTCACACTATTTTTATATAATTTTCACATTCTAAATCTATCATATTGAACTTTGAAAACACGGTAATTGTAGCATAATTTATGAGGGAATAACGGTCCAGTAATGGTTTAATTAATTGTTCTTGGTGCTCACTCTTGGTATAGGAAGTGCAAAAGAGACTGTTGAACACAATTTTTTTATTTTTCCTGAATTCGAAGAAATGCAGAGCTTTTACAGCATATCTAATGTGATTACTTGTTTCGTTGAAATATTAAATCAGCAAAAGATTAAAAACTAAAAAGTAAGAAAATATTATGAAAAAACTTTAAAAATAACTTTCTAGAGAATATTTAATTAAAAATAAATATGAGAAATAAGTGAGGCTCAAAGAATCAAAAACACCACCAAGTCCAACTTTTCAAATATTTTAATCCGTAGGTAACTTGTGGTGTGTATACTAAACTTTAATTTGTCAAAATTCTTTTTCTGTTAGTTAGGATTGGTTCAACAATTTTATCTCAAAATCAATTGGTGATCGGTGACTACAAATTAAATATTTTTTGACATTCGACGATCATCATTTTAGTGATCTAATTTTGCAATTTAGAAAGCACATATAAATTTAGATAGTAAACAAATATAAGTTCTTCAACAAACTCTATATATTTAACATTTAATTTTATCTACTTCCAAAAAATATTTATTTTCACTAGTTTCCTTCCAAATTATTACATTTCTTTTTTATATTGAAAATTGAAATCTTCGAATTCATTTAATCATAGAGAGAGAGCCAACCCATTCTCTATTTTAAAGCATCTCTGGGAGACTTTTTAAATACAAAATACTCTTTATTTTAAATAGTCAATTCTTAAAAGGGTTAATTTCACAAACGGTCACTGAAGTTACGTCAAAATCACAAAACGGTCACTGAAATTTAAAACTTGCACCAACAGTCACTGAAGTATCATTTAGTTGCACAAACGGTCATTGAAGGACCTTTTCATTTTAATTGGAAATTAAAGGACCAAAATAGTTGAAGTTTGAAACTTGAAGGCCTAAATCACAAATTTTACAATAAAATAATAAACACCCCCTACACAATAGAATCCGAGTAGTGGGTTCAACGCCACCACCATTGCCGACCATTTCATGAACCTTTCCCAATAAGTCTGCAGAAAGCTCATTCAAGTAAATAGGAATCCCCATTTCTGTTAGCTGGAGCTGCAGCGCCCTTTGGGAAAAGGCCGTTTCCTGTGATTGGCGGCTGTGTCGCGCCACGACCACTCCCTCCTTCATTTCCTTCGCTTTCTCCACCTCATCGGCCGGCAGCGACGGTGGCAGAGGCCACGGAGGCTCCANTTTGCAAGCAAAGGGAGGACCGGGAGTGGCGAGCGGAAGAGAAAAGAGGACAATAAGCAAAAAAACTAAAATAATTGAACTTTGAAAACACGGTAATTGCAGCATAATTTATGAGGGAATAACGGTCCAGTAATGGTTTAATTAATTGTTCTTGGTGCTCACTCTTGGTATAGGAAGTGCAAAAGAGACTGTTGAACACAATTTTTTATTTTTTCCTGAACTCGAAGAAATGCAGAGCTTTTACAGCATATCTAGGCCCCGTTCGGGAGTGATTAAAATCCAATTAAAATTGAAAATATGATCGTTATTGGACCCCACCCATCTAATAAAAGTCAACAATAACGGCTATATTTTCAATTTTAATCCGATTTTAATCCCTCCCATACAAGGCCCTAATGTGATTACTTGTTTCGTTGAAATATTAAATCAGCAAAAGATTAAAAACTAAAAAGTAAGAAAATTTTATGAAAAAGCTTTAAAAATAACTTTCTAGAGAATATTTAATTAAAAATAAATATGAGAAATAAGTGAGGCTCAAAGAATCAAAATCACCACCAACTTTTCTGTGGTGTGTATACTAAACTTTAATTTGTCAAAATTCTTTTTCTGTTAGTTAGGATTGGTTCAACAATTTTATCTCAAAATCAATTGGTGATCGGTGAGTACAAATTAAATATTTTTTGACATTCGACGATCATCATTTTAGTGATCTAATTTTGCAATTTAGAAAGCATATATAAATTTAGATAGTAAAAAAATATAAGTTCTTCAACAAACTCTATATATTTAACATTTAATTTTATCTACTTCCAAAAAATATTTATTTTCACTAGTTTCCTTCCAAATTATTACATTATTTTTTTATATTGAAAATTGAAATATTCGAATTCATTTAATTATAGAGAAAGCCAACCCATTCTCTGTTTTAAAGCATCTCTGGGAGACTTTTTAAATACAAAACACTCTTTATTTTAAATAGTCAATTCTTAAAAATGAGTTTTAAGAACCTTTATATTTTAAAAGTGGGTTTGATTCTCCAGATTTAGAGAGTCAAAGTCACTCACTATTCTTAATGTACAATGCATTTAATAAATCACGTATTTCGATATTTTACTTTTTAAACTATTCAAACTACATTTAAACTGATTAGTCGATTGACATAAAAAAAAAAATTGTGTTAAATAAAATATGAAGAGAAAACAATAAATGTTTTTTGAGAAAACCAATATGAAGAGCAAAAGTAGAGATTCTGTTGGAGTGTACAAAAATTTTAACTATCTAAATTTAAAGATACTCTCTATAATACATAAGATGTTCTTTATAAATAAATAATCTCTTGTAGATGCTCTTAAAATGCTAATTTAAAGAGTCTCATGAAACATAATTTTAGGAATTAACTTTTAAATAGAGAACATTTTATATTTAAAGGACCTCTTGGAGATATTCTAATATTAGTCTCTTGAAACATAATTTCAAATATTAACTTTTTAAAAGGACCTCTTGGAGATACTTTAATGTTAGCACTATCTAATGTATTTTTTAATTGATAAATATGAACCTACCCATTAATATTTAAGTGAAAAATAATATTTTTTAATCACTTCATTCAAAAAAGAATAATGCTAGCACCAGTTGTGATGAATACCAGTTTAGGTTTAAGCATATCATTGGTTCTATTAAATGTACCATAATTTTTTGTACTTAATTGAATTTGTAATTTAATGTCACTAGTATTATCACCCAAATTGATGCTAAATAACAATCAATATATTCCTTTTTGAGAGTAATGCACCTTCTCGAAAGTAGCATACAACTTTCTGTTTTATCCAAGTGTGCTTGTTTTCCCTTTCTTTTTTATTCCATGAGTCTTTGTGAAATAACTTTATTGAGAAGAAAAAACAAAAAAAGAAAGATATTAAGAGACCTTCCCGACCCAACCCTAGACACTCTAAGATAAAATAATAAATAAATAACTATACACTTGCATGCCAATGGGGGGAAAACGATGGTCAAACTTTTCTCCATGGATTCTAAAAAAAATTAAAATCTCTCTATCTCTATCTCCTAAAAAATTCAGAATTTAAACTTTAATTTCTCATGAATTTCAACTATGAAATAGCTCTGATACCACTTGATAAAAAAACATAATAGGATTATCGATCAAAACAATAATCAAATCCTTAATTCTCAATAATATAACTATAGATTCATCTCCATGTTGAAATCCGAAAAAATAACTAAACATAAAACATACATATATCTATAGTAATCTGATTCTTTGCCGGATGGGTTAGGATCTTCCAAATGATTGGTGATCTTCATTTCAATTTTGCTCTCTATTGATGAGGATGTAGAGAAACTCAAGAACACCAACAAATGAGGACCATAACCATATAAAATAATAGTAGTAACTCAATAGTCACAATCTTTCAATTGCTTCAAATTGGCCCCTCATCAATTTAAAACAACACTTCGATCTCTACATTATAATTCCATGAAATTTAATACCCATTAGTCACAATACATCTTAATCGGATTACTTTAATTGACTAATATTCTGTAAATAATAGCACCACACATTTCAATATACAACGTGTGACCCCATATATGTTGAAAATATCCAATATAAACCGATATTAATAAGCTATAAATAAGTGGATAGTACTTATAGATCTATGAATAGAAAGTGATTTGCTAAATATATATAATAGAGACTTTAGTCGGTTCAATGCTAGAAAAAACAAAGATTGCTGTGCTCACCCCATACGTCTGCTTTGAAGGGGTCTACTAGGTAACCAATCAGTATCTATCACTTGGTCAACTTAAAAATATTTATTTACTAGCGGAGAAGTTAATTTATTCATTCATTCTTAGCGGACAAGTTAGGCTCCCTCTATATAATAAGGCTCAACCCTGGAGAATGGAAATACAGCATAGACTGAAAATCAAAGAAGAGTAAAATGGCAGAAGTGAAGCTTTATGGTAGTTGGTCAAGCCCATTTTGCCATAGAATCGAGGTTGCTTTGAAACTCAAGGGCGTTGAGTATGAATTCATAAGCGAAGATGTACACAACAAGTCCCCTTTGCTGTTAAAGTACAACCCAGTTCACAAGAAAGTTCCTGTGTTAGTCCACAATGGCAAGCCAATTTGTGAGTCTCTGGTGATTCTTGAATACATTGATGAAACCTGGGAAGAAGGCCCTTCTCTTTTGCCTAAAAATCCTTATGAGAGAGCGATGGTGCGCTTCTGGGCAAAGTTATTGGATGAAAAGGTACAGTATTAAACAGGTCAAATGGTCGTATAATGGTGCTACTTGGACATCCAACAATTAACGATGTTTCTATTTTTTGTACGTTTTTTAGTGTTTGCCTGCAATGC